TGTTAATAAAATAATTGGACCCTAATTAACATTAACATATTTAACTAAATAGCATTATAAAACATTTATTTAATTAATTAATTATTAAACTCTAAAAAGAAATAATTAATATATAATAGTAAATAATTAATAAAAATATTATAAAGATGTACCTAAAATATGGGTGTAAAATATGTCTATCAGTCACGCATACGACCATGTATGCCGGGCCTGGCCGTGGGGCGCATGCTGGTGGCAGACAGTCGCAACCTCCGCAGCAGCAGTGAGGTGGTCGAACTGGTCGTGGTGGCCAACACCGGGGAGGCCGCGGTGGTCGAGGCGCGCCGAGATGCCAGATATGCAGATCGCATGTGCATTCGTCTGTTTATTGCTACAAAAGGTACACGACGCAACGCAGCAACCTCTGGAAACAATTGCGGTTTCCGGCAAGATTCTGGCAACTCCGATGTCTATTCCGGCAGACGGGTTGTATCCGGACACCGGAGCCACCGCGCATGCAACCCCGGACGTGAACATGCTAGGCCAATCAGACACTGGAGATCTGGTGGTTTCAACCTCTTTCATTTTCTTTGGAACAGGTGAAGGCAAAGGCTCAGCAGACTGAGGAGTAACAGTCTCTACAGCTGGTGCTTCCACCTCAAGTTGGATTCCAGATAGACCGCTAACACTTTCCATCTAAAAAGGGGAAAGTATCAGTGAGACAGTGAATGGAAAATCACTTGTCAGAAAATCATCAACAATTATGGATACAGGCATCAATTACTTAAAGTCTTAAACAGGCAGAATTCAGTTACTTGGACATTTCATCATGTATGCAGAATTGCACATAAATAATTTAAGGGTTACATATCCATAAACTTAATTACTTAATACTTACAATTTCACACTTACAATTTACAAAGAAATTCATAATCAGACATTCAAGCTATGTAGATGTATGCTACTTTATAGTGCTCATCATTTATATGGATTTCACACACATGGGCTAGGGCTTCCACCAGAATACCAAATTAAGGGCTCAACAGATTCACACTTTATAATGCTTAACATTTATATGGATTTCAGTATTTCACACACAGCGGCTAGGGCTTCCACCAAATGACAAAATCATAGAATCCAACTAAGTATCAGAAATTCACACTCAAATGACTAGTGACATGCAATCTGGAACTTCTCAACAGATTGACAAGTATCACAATCTACATAATCATAGCAAATTAGGAACCCTAATTAAAGTATCAAAAATTTACACTCAAAGGACTAGTGACATGCAATCTGAAACTTCTCAACAGATTGACAAGTATCACAGTCCACATAATCATAGCAAATTAGGAACCCTGATGAATAAGACAATAATCTCTAACAAAAATGTAAATAGGGTTTAGCAATTACTTCGTTTCTAAAAAATAATCCCTCGAGAACAAAGCGCTTCGTTTCTCAACAGCCATAGAGAATCAGAGACAACTAGGGCTTCCACAGTTCCACTGGTGACCGGACTAGGGCTTCCACCTAGGGCTGGGCACATTGAGGTTTCGGTTCGTTTTTTTTTTTTTCGGTTTCAATTTCGATTTTGATTTTTCGGTTTTAAAAAAATTAAACCATTCGGTTTAAAAATAGAGTTCGGTTCGGTTTCAGTTTCGGTTTGAAAAGTTCGGTTTTGGTGGAAGTCCACTATTTAAACGTTTCCTTTTTTGTCTGACCGATTGTTCAGTTGGCTCACTTGGAGTGCCACTTGAAGTGTTTTGTTGATGACAAGATGAAGAATCATCCATCTATAGTTAATATTTGAAAAATAAGAATTATTAAAATACCAAATGGTGGGACTTACGACTTAGAGTTGAGATATGAGGATTTGAGGAATTGAAATTATTAATTATTATAATATTTATATATAATACTAGCATTTTGTACGTGTGATGCGCGAAAATTTATGCCCAACATCAAAATATTGATAAATGCAAATAATTACAAATTATAGTTTAAATTATATTTCGCAATTCCTTAAAGTAGTAAATTTTAATTATCGTATTTGAAAACTATAGAGATAAACAAAATTTATATTTTGTTTATTAATAATGTAAACAATTTTGATATAATTTATACTTTGTTTTTACAATAAATAAATAAAATATCTATAATACTAATCTAGTAACCGGTCACATATATTGGTGTGTGTGCATGCCTCTATATATATATATATATATATATATATATATATATATATATATATAGTTATATACACACACATATATGATTTACTATTCATAGCTTATTAATTAAAATATAATCAACATCTAAAGTAATTATATAATGATTTTAATAAAATGATAATTAAAGAATAGGAAAAAAGATATCATAGACAATTAGATATAGGTGTATGATATTAATGATAGAGTTATGAAAGTTTTAGAATTAAATAGTAATGGTGTTATAACGGTATAAGGGTATTTTAGTCTAACAAGAATGTACGTAGTAGGGACAATTTTGTCCATTATAATTGAAGTGTACAACATTTAATAAAAAATGTATACCTTTATATACAATTCTAATAAGAGCCAATAATGTTAGGCCCTTAACTGGAACAAAAAAATGTCGGTAGGATTGTTTCTTAAAATTAATGGTTCATATTATTTTAATTTTAGTATATTTTAATGATTTTCCTTATTTACCCTCTATTATATTATTTTCTTCTCTTAAATAATCTAAATTCCATTAGTATAAACTTTAGTAACGGAATATTTCATTAACTATTTATTATTTTTAACCTATTCATTAATTTCTATAAGAAAGATCTTAGGTTCGAACCTCATCCCAATTAAAGTTGGCATAATTGTTAAACATATACTACGAATATGTTAAAATATATTAAAAATATATAATATAAAATTTAACATAAACTTTGTTCAAATAATTAGTCCGGCTAAATACATAACATTCAAAGTTAAGCATCAAAGATTATAAATCAAAAACTTTAAAATTCATTTGATTTTTATGCATTTAAAAAAAAAAAACAAATTTAGGTTAAGTTTTTTTTTTTTTTCCGTTTAATTAATCTTCTTTTGATTATTTAGATCAGAACAAAACTTAATATTTCAATTATACTTTTGCATTATTGGCATGATTTTGGTTGTTATGGTATTAATATTTTTTGTATGTATTTTTATAATGGTACAATTATACATTACTTTACAAATATTATACTATTATTTTTTTTATCGGACAAAATGGTTCTTACATCATTGTTAGGCCTGCGCGGCCTAACTACAAAGTTTTTTTAATCATAAATACAATTACACCTGAACTCTAAAACGGTACGATCATTTTCTAACAAATTGACAATGTTGACATCCCACTGGCTCTAATTTACACATCAGAATTTTATCAAAAATAGCACTTTTTCCGGCTGAGTTATATACTTATAGTAAATTTTCCCCTTGAATTATTCAAGTGACTATTTTCCCCCCTGAAATGTTAAATGGACATATTTACCCTTAAAATAAATATTTTATTTATTTTTCTTCTCCAACAAATTATGACCACGATTTGGTTCGGTTCATGTTTCAAACTAAAAAAAATAAAATTACATTTATTGTTGAATTTAGAGTACTATTCTTAAAATAAAAAATAAAATTTTAAAATAGAGACGGTTCAAAATCGCGAATCGGATCCAAAACCGTCGGTTCACGGTTCAGGATCCAGTTTTTTCGATTTATAATTTTAATAAACTAAAATCCAAATATTTGGTTGTGAATTTGAATCATAACTGGAAATTTTCAATTCGATTGCTATAGTGTCTGGTTCAGTTCGTACCGAACAGTGGTCACCCCTACATATAAACAATAATTTGTTGGAGAAGAAAAATAAATAAAATGTTTACTTTAAGGGTAGAAATGTCAATTTAATATATCGGGGGGGGGGGGGGGGGGGGGGGGGGAACCGCCTTTTTTAGAACAATTGAGGGGGCTAATGTGCTTACATGAATAATTCAGGGGGGAAAAAGTGTCATTTTCCCTTTTATCAATGCATGAAAACTTCTAAAGAAATTTGTAAGTTAACTTTTACTATATCATTATAACAATATCTATTGTAACTATATATTTTGAATTATTTATTATCATCCTCTATTGACAGAAATTGTAGCAATTGTCATTGACAAACTCTCTAAACAATTTGTCTCAACAACGAATGTAAATTAAAAAAAATAAAAATCAATGATTCATTATTGTTGATGAAAAGTATGTGCACCACTTTTTTTTTTTGAAAAATCAATCTGTGGATTGTATTAATTGATGAAAGCTATAATAGTGTCAGGAGGGATAGAATCCCAATACATAGAATGTTCCTGAGTAAAAGCTAACGAAGCTAAAGCATGAGCATGTAAATTAATCTGTCTAGGCACATAGCTTAACGAAATAAAATTAAATAGAGACATCATTGTCTTGCACTGGTCAATTATCAACCCAGCATACGAGTGAATGGGTGTAATCTGGTGATTATGGTGGATCGCAGAACCATACAATCCGTGAGCAGATTGGCCGAATTAATACTCCTTTCAACTAACCAGGACAGTGCCTCTTTAAAAGCCATAGCCTCTGCCATGAGTGGTGAAAAACAAACGGGTGATCTTCCATTCCTAGCTGCCACAAACGAGCCACCGGACTCTAATAACACAATTCCATACGTAGCCTCCCCGGTTTCCTGCCGATACCCCGCATCTATATAGCATCGCATGTGATTGTTGGACAACACTGGTTCGGCCTATGGTTGTACACCTTCTCGCGTGGAACGACCGTGTACCGCACCATAGGCTTTCAGCAATGTTGCCGCCCCCTTCGCAACAGCCCGCGGCCGTGACATGGCCCCTTCCCACACAGCTGCATTGCGGCTCCTCCAAATATTGTAAAGAACTCCCACCAAAAGCTGTGTTTGTTCCTCGGTTAGAATCGTCATAGCCCCAGTTAACCATGCCGCAAACGAATCTGTAATAATATTCGTGATAGGTAATTGTGTTATATTCCAAACTAATGCAGAATATTCACAATAAACTAATGCATGCAACACATCTTCATTATTAAATCTGCACATAGGACATGTCGGGTCAATCTCCACCCTCTTATTAATTAGATTCGTGGTAGTGGGTAAAATATCACATACTGCTCTCCATATAAAAGTCTTCCATTTTGGTGGTACTTTCAATTTCCACATCTTAACCCATTTATCAAAATCACCTGGGTTATTCTCATAATCACCAACAATACGCCTGTAGGCATTTGGTAGGGAATATCCCGATCGCTATATCTTTACCCCGGCCGGTGTGCCTTTGTTTTTGAATTCTTGTCTTTGCAGGTAACAGGTCGAGCTTCTTGTGAAGAACCCGGTCGGTTCCCGACCTGGAGTTGTCCGAGCGGCAGTGTCGACCCCCGAGCGGTAGCCCTTTGGCGAGAGAGCTGACGAGGGACACGTGGCGGCTCCACGCGTTGATAGGCAGGGCACCCGGGACAACGGCACGTGGTTGCTACGTGGGAGGCATGCCGAACGGCTGGATTTGTGTCTCCGGCTCCACGGCTATAAATACCCACGATAGCTACAATGTGGGGGACTTTTGGACGATCAATAGGTTGTTGTTAGAGAATCCCGACCGCAGTTAGTCGGCACTCAGAGCAACCAAGTAGATTGTACTTAGGGCCTTCACAGTGATCAATAAGAGTTATTTACTTGCTTTAATTGGTCTCGTGTTTATTTAATTACCGCTTACGTGGCAATTAACACTATCATTTTGGCGCCGTCTGTGGGGACCCGTGCAAGAAAGTCATCGTCTTGACAAGCACCCGATTTTTCATCAACCATGTATCCGTGGGCACAAAACCTCTTCGCCGACGACCAGACGGATGCAGCGAGCTCATCCGACCACCAGGCGACTCAGCAACAAGGTCAGACGATGGACCTCAACCTCAATCTCTCACCACCCCATCCATCCAATACATACCCGGCCGCCCAACAGCCGGTGAATTACATCCAACCGGGATACCCAACATCCGGTCAGCAATATCAGCAGCAGCCGATGATATATCCCGGCCAGTATCCATACTCGGCCCCACCTCAACCGTACGGGTATTGACCAGGCCAACCGATGTATTACACACCCCCGGTTGGCTATCCACCTTACACGCCTGCGTACACGACTCCAGCCGCCGCCCCTCCAGTTTACCCGGCCGAACAAGCAGAGCCGCAGCATCAGCCCGCTTCCCGGGCTCGACGCTCGGCTCGTTCGCGGTTGGGGTCGGGGGGTGCTGATGCGATGGAGGCACCACGGCAGGCCTAGCAAGCACCGGAGGCTCCAGTCCAAGCGGAGGACCCCGAAGAAGCTGCCCGGACGGTAGCTTTTGACCGTCTTCGACCGGCGATGCGACAACGTTTGGGGCCCCAAGACCCTAACCGACAGCCGGAAGATGTACAGATGCAGGAAGCCAGGCAGGAGGCTTCATCCGGGCATGGTGGGTCGAGATCTCACCGTCGACGATGCGCTCGGGATGCAGCCCAAGCGGCCGAGCTCAACGAGACCCGAGGATTGCTCTATAACCTCCAGGCGGAGTTTGCGCAATTCAGGAACGCGCACCCTACAATACCCCCGGTCGACCAATCGTCCTTGCTCAGGACACCTTTCACTGCCGAGGTAATGGCTCAGCCCTACCCGCTTGATTTGAAGGTCTCCGGGGAGAAAAGTTACGATGGCCGTACGGACCCTGAGGTCCATGTCAATGATTTCTATGGCAACATGATGTTGAATGGCGTATCAGATGCCGTGATGTGTAGGGCTTTCTACTCCACGCTCACCGGTCGGGCGACGGAGTGGTTCCGAACTTTGCAGCCAGACTCAATTGCTGACTTTAACGCCCTGGCAATCAAGTTCGTGAGGAAATTCATCACCTCCAAGGTGGTGAGGAAGTCCTACATGTACTTGGAGAAGGCCAAGCAGCTTGAAGGGGAAAGCTTGGCCGATTTCCTCGTCAAATGGAAAGCAGCGGTCGGGGAGGTCGAGCCCATGGATGACACGACCGCCACCCACATGCTCCACATTTCCCACCGGGCGGGTTATTTGTACCAAGACTTCATTCTACACCCCCCGGCCACGTATGAGGAGGCCCTTCGAAGGGTCACAGATTATGCCAACGCTGGCGAGGCGAACGCCGTAAAGCGCTCACAGGAGGTCGGGTCTTCGTCCCGTAAACCGGCCGGCCGGGCGGAACACCGATCGGGTGATGATCATCCCCGACCCCGCACCAGGCCTGGTGAGTTTACGGCCTTGAACCGGTCCGCAGTGGAGGCCATGCAGTACGCTCAGTCCTGCAATCTCATCAAACTCCCCCATCCCGATCGAGACGGCCTTGACAAGAATAAGCACTGTGCTTACCACCGATGTGCCGGGCATGACACTGAAGAGTGTACCCACTTTCGCCAACTGTTGGAGGATTTTCTCAATCTTGGGAAGTTGGACAAGTGTGTGGGGAAGAGAGAAGACACAAAGAAGAGTACCGATCGGAGAGACCACCGGCGCTCTCACCACAGTTCCGATCGTTCTGATCGTGAGGGGCGCTCCGATCGGCCAGGTCAGGACCGAAGAGACGATCGAAGGGACGATCGTCGTGATGACCGACGGGATCCTAACCCTCCATCTAGCAGCCGACCAGCAGGAAAGCCGACCATCCACGTTATTTTTGGTGGATTGGACGATGCTTCCCGGTCGAGGGGCAATTGCCCGGTCGCCATTGTAGATTCCCGGGACACTGGGAAGAGGCAGAAGATGGAGCCCATAACCTTCACCCTCGGCAGTGGTGACCACGGTATGGAGGCACTCGTGGTCACGATTGATGTCAAAGGGACAGACGTCCAGAGGGTTATGGTGGACACTGGCAGCAGTGTAAACGTCCTTTATTTGGACGTATTTGAAAAGCTTGGACTTGACAGGAAGGAGCTGACTCTGGTCGGTGTACCACTGTCGGGATTTACCGGGGCGCTCATTTACCCCGAAGGGAAAATAATGTTCCCGGTCGAGATCGGCACATCTCCAAAGTCGATCAAGACGGAGTTGGAATTCGTTGTGGTCAACCTCCATTGTGTCCACAACATTATTTTGGGCCGACCCGCAATCATGAAGATTGGTGGGATAATTTCAATGCCTCACCTGTGGATGAAATTTCCCACCCCCAATGGGGTCGGTGTGGTCCGCGGCGACGTCCAATCCGCCCGGAAGTGTTACACTCGAGCGGTTAACAGGCGTGACTCCGGTCCGTCTTCCCGGGTGAACACCATTGCCAAGGAGGAGGCAAAAGATCGGAAGGAACAACCTGAGCCTTCCGAGGAAATAGAGGAAGTTCCCCTGTCCGAGGACCGACCAGACAGGAAGATTAAAATCGGCCGGGCCCTCACCCCCGAGCTCCGAGCAGAAATCCTGGCCATACTCCGGGAGTATGCTGACATCTTTGCGTAAGACATGCCCGGGATCGACCGATCAGTAATCTGTCACAAGTTGGCTGTCGATCTCGCAGCGAAGCCGGTCGTGCAGAAGACCCGGCATCTTTCGTCCGATCGCCGTGAATTTGTCAGGGAAGAGGTCAAAAAGATGGCGGCGATCGAGCACTTCCGACCGGTAATCTATCCCGAGTGGGTCGCAAATATTGTCCTTGTTCCGAAGCCCCCAGCTTGGAGGATGTGCATTGACTTCACCGACCTCAACAAGGCCTGTCCGCTCGACCCGTATCCTCTACCGAGTATCCATCAGATGGTCGACGAGACGGCCGGGGCCGAGTTGATGAGCTTCATGGATGCATTTAAAGGGTATCATCAAATAATGATGCACCATGAAGATGAGAGCAAAACAGCCTTCGTGACCTCGGACGGGCTGTATTGCTACCGAGTGATGCCGTTCGGCCTTCGTAACGCGGGAGCGACCTATCAGAGGATGGTCAATATGCTCTTCGCTGATCTGCTAGGCCGAACGATGGAAGCCTACATTGATGACATGCTGGTCAAGAGTCGGGACCGATCCGACCACACTCGGGACCTTCGGGAGTGCTTCCAGATCATGAGGAAGTACCAGTTGCGGCTGAACCCGACCAAGTGCACATTTGCGGTTCAGACCGGGAAATTCCTCGGCTACATGATGACCAAGAGAGGAATCGAGCCCAACCCGGCCAAAGTGAAAGCGATTCTGGACATGCAACCACCTTCTACCGTTCGAGAAGTCCAGCAATTGACCGGTCGGTTGGCAGCTCTCAGCCGTTTCCTCTCTAAGTTAGCTGAGCGCGCTTTACCTTTCTTCAAGGTATTGCGTAAAGTCAACGGGTTCGTCTGGGACGAAGAATGCCGAGCGGCTTTTGATGAGCTAAAGGAGTATCTCATGTCACCAATTGTGCTCTCAAAGCCCGAGCTCGGAGAAGAGCTAGACGTGTACCTCGCCGTCTCCGATCGTGCAGTAAGCGCAGTATTGTGCCGAACCGATCCGGAAGGGGTCCAACGACCGGTGTACTATGTAAGCCACGCGCTGCATGGTCCCGAGCTCCGGTACTCCCGGCTGGAGAAAGTCGTCTACGCTTTGTATATCGCTGCGAAGAAGCTGGCTCCCTATTTCCAAGGTCGAGCAATTCGCGTTTTAACCAATCAGCCGATCGGGCCGGTCCTCCGAACTGCTTCATCATCCGATCGCCTAGTCAAGTGGGCGTTAATGTTTACCCAGTACGCGATCGAATACCGACCAAGACCAGCCATCAAAGGTCAAGCCTGGCAGATTTCTTGGTCGAATGCACCGCCCGGGATACCCGACCTCCCGAGGTTGCGGATCCCGAGGCTGAGTGGTGGTCGCTAGCTACTGACGGGTCAAGTAGCAAGAAAGGAGCAGGAGGAGGAGTGGTGGTCACGAGCCCGGAGGGATTCAAAGTCTATTTCGCCCTCATGTATCAGTTCCATCCGACCAATAATGAAGCCGAGTACGAAGCCTTTGTCAATGGCTTACAGTGTGCTCGGGATTTGGGGGCTGAATACATTCGAGCTCAAACAGACTCCGCGCTCGTGGTCGGATAGGTTCTCGGGGATTACGAAGTGAACGGAGAACGTCTACAACTATACCGAGACCTGGCCATGGAGAAGCTTACCCAGTTCCGGGGGTATACCGTCCGGCACATACCCCGATTGGATAATGCCGATGCGGACATCTTGTCTAAGTTGGCCCAAGACGCCCCGGAACACATGTCGAAGATAGCTCGGATTCTGGTGATCCCGAGACACAGCATCCATCGCTTGCCGGTCAATCCAATCCAACCGGCAGAAGACAATTGGATCACCGATCTGAAGGATTTCCTCGAGCACGGACGACTCCCAGACGACCCCCAGCGTGCTCGGAAAGCCAAGCTTAGAGCCCCGAGGTTCCAAGTCTTGGACGGTCGTCTTTATAGGCGGTCGTATGGAGGCCCTCTTATGCGTTGCTTGACCGCATTTGAGGCCGATTTGGTCATGAAGGAATTGCACTCGGGCATTTGCTCGTCACATCAAGGAGGCCGATCGTTAGCTCGTCGTATTATGCTAATCGGGTATTATTGGCCGTCCCTCCAGTTAGACTGTGAAAAGCTAGCTCGAGAATGCGAGACGTGCCAATTGTTTGCCCGGATGCCTGGACGACCGGCAACCTTCTATCAACCGATCACGACTGCGATTCCCTTCACTAGGTGGGGGGTGGATATCTTGGGACCTTTCCCTCAGCTCTCCGTTCGGGGAAAGTTTGTAATTGTCGCCATTGATTACTTCTCCAAGTGGATAGAAGCCGAGCCGTTAGCCACGATCACTTCTCAGCAATGTGCTCGGTTCCTTTGGCGTAATGTGATTTCCCGCTTCGGTGTGCATATGCATCTCATCAGCGACAACGGCCGCCAATTCGTAAGCCAGTATTTCCAAAACTTCTTGGCCACGATTGGGACGACCCATGTCTGGTCGTCGGTGGCTTACTCGCAGGGAAATTGACAAGTGGAAAATGCTAACCGGACGATTTTGGAAGGTCTAAAAAAGAAGCTACACTCGGCTGGTCGTAGTTGGGCCGATGAGTTGCCATATGTACTGTGGACTTATCGGACGACCCCGAGGGAAGCTACTTTGGAGACCCCTTTCGCCCTGGTTTACGGAGCAGAAGCCCGACTCCCGATCGAGGCTTGGATCCCGACCGACCGAGAGCGAACTTACAATGCGGAGGAGAACGAACACGCGATGGTCGTGGATCTCGATGGGGTTGAGGAGAAAAGAGAGCTAGCCGCTCGGTGTATGGCCGAGTATCAGAAGAGAGTCAAGAGTTCAAAGGATATTCGGGTCAACCCTCGTTATTTTCAGGTGGGAGATTATGTTCTACGACGAAGGGAGGCCAGTCAACCTTTGGAAGGCGGGAAGCTAGCTCAGAATTGGGAAGGGCCATATATCATCAGTGGTGTCATACGGCCAGGAACATACCGACTGGAGACGACAACCGGTCGAGTAATCGAGGGGACTTGGAATTCCGAGCACCTCGTGATGTTTAGGCATTAGCCTATTTTTTGTAATCTTTAGACGAAGTGGGGGCTCGACCTGTGAGTTAGTCCCGGTCGTCATGTATATTTGAATTTATTGTTGTAAATGTTTGTTTAACCGCCTGCGAGCGGGAAGGTTTAATGTATATACGATCGGTGATTGCTTGACCGTTTGCATAGGCGGCCCGGTCGGTTATTTTCTTTACCTTCATTGCATGCAGGACATCTCGTCACCAAGTTACATCGACCGGGCGAGTCAATCGACCGGTCAAATGCGCTCCTCTTCAGCGGACAATTGGGTCGCGCCACCGATCGGGAAAGCCAAAGCTCCCAGCATAATTCCCCGATCCGTCCAACTTCTTTCCACTATCGCACCCACTCGTGCCTCGAGGGTACAATAGTGTGGGGGCTGGGATGATGAAGTGTTGTAGGCCAGTCGCTCGGGAAAACCCCGACCGTGGAGGCTTACCCAGTCTCAAAATTTCGACAAGGCCAAGAGATCGGGTAAACCTGATTGGGCAGGCCAGTTTGACGTCGAAACTTCGGATGCACGACCGGGCCATAAGGCCACAAGGTCGGGTGTCGAATAAGTCGAATAACGCATGACCGGGCCAAAAGGCTATGAGGTCGAGCGTTAAGGGTTCAGTGCATGTTTGAATGAAGATAAGCACGAATAAAAGAAACGGACGACACAAGTTTGACAAAAAATGAATTTCAGTAATTAAAGAAAGTGCCCGGTACAAACTCGGGACCGGGCTCCCGATCAGCGTCTACAAAAAAAAAAAAAAAAAAAAAAAAAGAGAGAGAAGTAAACCTACTTCTACTTCTTCGCTCCTTTGGCCTCCCCTTTCTTAAAAGCCTTCGCCTCGCTCGGGGCCGTCGCCGCAGGCCCGCTCGGGTCGGCCGCCTTGTCCTTTGGGGCGAACGGAGAGGGATCGGGGTCGGCAAGGTCGGGAGGGAGGGCAGACAAAACCAACTGGAGGTCGTCTCCTTCAAGGGCCTGCTCCATCCGTTTCTGGGCCCTCTCGAGCATTTTCCTTTGCCCGGCTTTGAAGGCCCACCGACCGAATGATAGGATCAGGTCCTCCCCGATCTTCGTCCTCCGGGCCGCCGTAAGGAACGCCGAGCCCGTGTCGTTGTCCTTAAACACAGACTGGGCCAGCTCGTTCGGGTTCTCCAATCGGGCCTTCAGCTTCGCGGCCTCCCCGATCGCCCGTTGCGCGACCTTCTCAGCCAGGACCCAATCTTCCTCGCTCTTCTTAAGGTCCTTCTGGACCTTCTCCAGCTCGGCCTGGATGTCCTTGACCTCTTGAAGGCGTCGGGCAGCGGCCTTCTTATGCCGATCGGCCTCGTCAGCCAGCATGGGTCGACCCTGAAGGAGCTGGGCCGCTCGGGAGATCTGCAACACAGAAAACGCTCAAAGTTAACCCGGTCAGAGACACTTGCATAAAAAATCAAGTGGAGAACGCTTACCTCGGCCAAGTCGTGGCCGATCCTCTCGGCCACCTGAGTCGGGGTCATCTTCCCCATATCCTCCCTGACTGGCCCGGCGTTGCCGATACGGGCCAATATGGACGACTCGTCCTTGTTCCGCCCGGCCGAGGGGCTCGGGCTGCGTTGCTCCCTGCGGCGCTTAATGCCGCCGACCTCGGTCACGCCCTTCTCCACCTTCTCTTTTTCCCGGGCGACCTCCACCCGGGTGACCAAGACGTCCGATGGCTCGACCACAAAGCCCTCGGCTTTTGTGATGGTCGAGGTCCCGATGGGTCGGGCCAGGGGAACCTCCTTATGCCCGGTTGGTTTGGCCTTTGGCTTCTTTTTGCCAAGCGAGATCTTGGCGGGCGGGGGAAGAGCGTCATCATCTCCAAATTCTGCCATTTCTGCAAAATAAAAAGAAACAAGGCAATTAGTTCGGGAAAAGTAGAGTCGTTCGGGGTGTTAGGGTCGGGAAACGTGGTTAGCATTAAACCTTTACCCTTCCGCTTGCCCCGAGCGGGCATCCTTGCAATTGTCACGCCCCGAGGCTCGGGCTTGTACTTCTCGGGCACGTCGTATACGGGCTCGGGCAGGTCGGCCGCTTCAAGGGACTCGGGCGTCCTGAAGATCCGGTACTCGTAGATTTCCCAGGATATCTTGGTGGCCGCGTCCTTGAGGGCCTGAGTCTCGGCCGGTATAACTTGCTTCCTGAAACGTTGACTCCAGACCCTCTCGACCGGGAGAATCCACGGTTCATACTTCACAGAGAACAACCGGTTCTTCCATCCCCGGTTGTTCCCGGGCAGACCTTCAATCGAGCACATGTCCGCCCGGGATTGGGTCATCAGGTACCCGCCCCCGTATGTGGCCGCTAGCACCTTCACCTGGTAGATGAAGTTGAAGAGTTCCATGGTGCAGGCCAGCTGGTGTCGACCGCAGATCTGCGGGAAGCATGCAATCATCCGGTGCGCATTCGGGCAAATCTGCCCGGGCACCACCTGGTAGTAACCCAGGAATGCGGTGAGGAGGCTCGAAAAGGGGAAAGTGATCGGGGCCATGAGGGAGTCGTAGTGCATCCCGAGCCACTTTCCTCGGTGTCGCTCGATAATGTTCCCGAGCAGCCGGCTTGTGTCAAATTCGACCCGGCCGGCGAGAGTTGCGGCGATTTTGGCTGCTTCGCCCTTGGTCAGCTTACTCATCTGGGTCTCGACGCTCTCGCTGTTGAGGAACTCGAACCCGTCCCCGCCTGGCGCCGCCGGCCCGGCCGAGTCTTCCTCGACCGCCTCCACGTCGTCTGCCCGGTGGTCCCCTTCGGGCTCAACCTGAGGGTAATCCCCTATTACCCTCGTAGGCGTTTCCCTAACGCCTTCGACCGGGGAATCCCATCCGCTCGTGGACGTTTTCCCGCTTTCTTCGCTCGAGCTCCCCGACCCACTGGAGCTCGACCCCGACGTCCTCGATGAGCTGGATGACCTTTCTTGCTCGGGGGATCGGTCGGGGGTTGGCTGCGGTCGTTGTTCGACCTCCGGAGAATAGGACATGATGTCCACCTCCTCGCTGATTTGTTCGACCTCATCGTCGTAGTCTGCGACCGAGACGTTCTGGCTGTCTGAGTCTGACATCTTTCTACCTAAAGGTCGGTCGTGGTTAGTACATGGCTCGGGACAGTGGGTCAGAGTTAGTCCTATCCTACTCCTACGCAAAACTAAAAATAAAAGACCAAGTAAGGAAGAAGAAAGCTTACCGACCAGGAAGACTTTGATGGAGCTTAAGTTGGTTTGCTCGGTTGATCTGTTGATGTTCACTCGGGACTCTCTGAGGGTGCCGGTTGATTCAGAAGATTGAGGAAAGTTCAAATGAGGGCCTCAAGGGCCTATTTATAGGAGAGCATTTGGGCGGGAAATTAATTCACTTGCGCGATGTGACCCGCACTGACTCCGAGGCGACCGTTGCAGTCGCAGAGGCCGGCAGTTGCCGACACGTGGCGAGAGAAGGAATGACAGCTGGCCGGTCGGTTTGGTAGCCGACGGTTGGGCTTCTTCATCCTGTCTTGTTTTTTCCCGGACGATAAAAAAGGCCCGGGCTGGGGGACTCTTGGTAGGGAATATCCCGACCGCTATATCTTTACCCTGGCCGGTGTGCCTTTGTTTTTGTATTTTTGTCTTTGCAGGTAACAGGTCGGGCTTCTTGTGAAGAACCCGGTCGGTTCCCGACCGGGAGTTGTCCGAGCGGCAGTGTCGACCCCCGAGCGGTAGCCCTTTGGCGAAAGAGCTGACGAGGGACACATGGCGGCTCCACGCGTTGATAGGCAGGGCACCCGGGACAACGACACGTGGTTGCTACGTGGGAGGCATGCCGAACGGCCGGATTTGTGTCTCCGGCTCCACGGCTATAAATACCCACGATAGCTACAGTGTGGGGGACTTTTGGACGATCGATAGGTTGTTGTTAGAGAATCCCAACCGCAGTCAGTCGGCACTCAGAGCAACCAAGTAGATTGTACTTAGGGCCTTCACAGTGATCAATAAGAGTTATTTACTTGCTTTAATTGGTCTCGTGTTTATTTAATTACCGCTTACGTGGCAATTAACACTATCAGCATTCTTTACTGAATAAATTCCTTTTGGGTCACCTGTCCAGTACCATGAGTCATCATAATCAGGGCTAACAGGAATTATAACTATTCTGCTCACATCCTCAGGGATAAATAAATCAGATAAAATATGTGGATCCCATGTTTGTGTTTGTGGGTCAATCAAACCTGCTACTCGTGCTTCTCTTAACTCCTCAGGCATAATTGTTTGTACCAAGGGACTTGGATTATCTGCAGCCATGGGTGTCCCCAAATTAGAGTTGTCTCACCATTTCCAATCCTGCGTCTTACCCCAGCTACCACTATTGGATGTGCTGCCATTATACTTCTCCAACAAAAACTTGGGCAATTACCAATAGTAGCATCAACAAAACTAGAAGTGGGGTAATACCTGGCTTTATATATTCTTGCCACCAGAGACTCTGGGTTTGTCAAAAAAATGTCATGCCTGCTTGCCCAGCATAGCTAGATTTAAAGCCCTCAATTCCTTGAACCCCAAACCACCAAACTTCTTAGGGATACATAACTTATCCCATGCCTTCCAGTGAATCCCCTTATCTCTGTCACTTCCCCACCAGTATCTATTCATTGCTCTCTCAATGGATTGACAAACTGTTTCATGCAACAAAAAAACACTCATTGAAAAAGTTGGCATAGATTGAGCCACACTTTTCAATAAAACTTCCTTACCAGCCTGAGATAATAACTTTGTGCTCCACGATCCAATCCTCTGCCTGATCTTTTCTTCCACATAGGAAAAAGCTGCTCTTTTATTTCTGTCCACAAACGATGGGAGGCCCAGATATTTCCCAAAATTAGTTGCCTGCACTACCGCAAGATAGTCTGCCACCTGCATTCTGACCATGTGGTGGGTATTTCGGCTAAAACATATATTTGACTTGTTATAATTCACCACCTGTCCAGATAGTTTCTCATACCTCATCAAACATTCTTTAATCACTATAGCCTCATTAATATTTGCTTTAAAGAAAAGCAGGCTGTCATCCGTAAAGAATAAATGAGACACCGGGGGAGCACCCCTGGCCACTCTACATCCATGTATAGATCCTGCCATCTGTTCCTTCTGCAACAACATCGAAAACGCCTCAGCACAGACAATGAATAAATAAGGAGAAAGAGGATCTCCATGTCTGAGTCCACGAGTCGGTTTGACCCGTCCCCCCACCTCCCCATTCACCATTACAGTATAGCTCACTGTTGTCACACACAACATTATTAGATTAACCCATTTATCACTAAAACCCAGCACTGTCAACATTTTTTCCAGAAAACCCCATTCCATTCTATCATATGCTTTTGACATGTCCAACTTTAGTGCACTCCAGCCTACTACACCACACTGCTTCCTGTTCAAGTAGTGACCCACCTCAGCTGCCACCAAGATATTATCCGTAATTAACCTGTTAGGCATAAATGCACTTTGGGATTCCGAGATGATATCTCCCATCAAAATTTTCATTATGTTTGCCAACATCTTTGCCATTATTCTATATATGACATTACTTAACGCAATTGGTCTCAAATCTGCAACTGTCTCCGGGACCTCTTTTTTAGGAATCAATACTATATTAGTATCGTTCAGACCTTCTGGAAACACCCCAGAGTTCAAAGCATGCAATATAAAATCAGACACATCATCCCCCACAATAGACCAAAAGTGTTGATAGAAACCCGGATTCATTCCATCCGGGCTTGGTGCTTTATCCGGGAACATAGAAAAGAGTGCGGTTTTTACCTCTTCTTTCGAAAAAGGCTGATTCAACATCACATTATTCTCATTCGACACACGGGGGGCAAAATCATTAAAGAGGGGGTCATCACAGCTCAAATTATTAGAAGCAAATATGCTCTTAAAATAATCCAGAATCACTGTACGCATATCTGTATCCTCCACCCAATCCCCACCCTCATTCTTAATATTAGCAATAAAATTCTTCTTTCTACGGGCAGAAGCATACCTGTGATAGAACTTGGTGTTAGCATCTGCACCCCGGAGCCAGTGTTGTTTCGCACGCTGTCTCCAAAAAACATCCTCCTGGGCCTCCAATTGCTTTAGCTTATTCTCATTCTGTTGGAATTCGGCCAATGCGACCGGATCCGTTATATCACAGAACCCCTCCTGCTGCCTCCGCAATTGCCCTATTCGGTGACCAAATTTATGGAATTGGTCCCCCCCCCCCCCCCCCCCCCCCCCATCTCATCAACTTCATACCACAAAATTGCTGACAGTGCAACAAGCCTTCCGGCCTCCCCTCCTGCCAGGCTGTCTCCACCACCTCCTTGCACCCTTCATCCAATAACCATGCATTTTCAAATCTAAACCTCCTCGGTC